ACTTAACCTATAAGAGGTCCAGCTCGCCCAAAAGGACATTATCAAGGTTTTTACAACTTAGTTGAAGGCAAGGAGGATAATTCAACATCGAGTTCTTCCCTTCTTCCTTTTATATTTTACCATTTATGATGAATTTTGCTATTGTTATGATGAACAAGCTTATGAGTAGCTAAATATTTAGTCCAAGGTTTTGATGGAACTTGTTGAGGGATGAATTTCGTGTTATGTTAATATAGTTTGCCCGGTTTAATCTCTATTTGTTCAACTACGTTCTTGTTGTAGTTAATTGATAGGATCCTCAATTAGCTGTCCCTATTTAGTATGTATTACTCGGGAGAGAGTGCATGTTTAGGTAATTGTTGAACAATACCACTCCCAAAGTATATGAGGAATCAATAACCAAGGGCTTAAAGGTGGGATTAGGGATAACAAAACCTTGGGTGCGATCTAAAGTGAGCTATAATAAAAGCCAGCTAGCATAACTTGGGAGAGTGCGTCTAGTAAATTGTCGTAATTACTTGGAAGAGATTTACGGTAATAAGAGTGCTCATGATCGATAGAGACGATTAGGCAAATCTATGCGAAACATAATAGGAAGGGATTCCATCAATAGGGAAAATCATAACCTTAGATCCTTTTCTTATTTGCATACAACCCAGTCATAGTTAGCTTTTAGTTTACTTTCTTTCATTCAGTTATAGTTAGTAAAAATATCTCCAAATGTTATTCAAAATATCTGGAAAGTTGATTACGAAGAATTCAGTGAATCTGACAAGAGTAATTGGTAGGTTAGTTCCTTGTGGGATTCGACTCTGGGCTAAATACTCAGCTTATATTTATAAAGACCGTTTTGTCCTTTTTATAAGGCATAGTTGGGCGTGATTCTCACGATGCCAACTATTATCAAATCCTTCAATCCCTAATTCATGTTCGATTTTATCTTTTTTACTAGACCATACGTATTTCTGTTACTACAGGGTCTAAATTAGCCTTATGGTAATCACGTTGGAGTCACCAACTCATTTCTCGAAATGAGGATATGACCTTTGGCCTATACACTTTTATTGTCTCAAGGCCTATCTCCTCTTGTACTTTCCTTCACTAAATAGACTCTGTCATCCTGTCATATTTTGATTTACTATATCACCCATTTATCAGATATTACTCATAATGCTTCGTTTACTCTCTTCTTATTCTCCTGCTAATATCTCTGTCTATTACCTTATTCTAATAACTTCAACACAATATTCTTTCACTTTTAGCTCCCCTTGCTCCATCTCACTAGCTCTTCGGGTCACCTAAAATTCTATTTTTACTAGGGACAGGAGTTATACTAAGATAAATATTTATCCCTTTTAGGATTCCACTACATATCTTCTGAAATTTTCGAACATTCTAGTATTCATTTCTAACTGCACTATTCTTTAGTGCACCATATAGGTGTCTCCCAAGGAGAACTATTATCACATTTGCAATATTCTTCGGAAATATCAGCTAACGCTAAAAATTCATCCACCTATTTTGGGTTACTCTAACCCAACTAGATCTTGATATCCCATCTTTCTCTTAAATTATATCTGTTAGCTCCCATAGGGCATAATTAAGATGGGTATGGGCAATTGTACATACATCTGTTACTTTTGAAGGTAACCTAGAATGCTTATATTTCTCTGCCTGAATTATAAATACTGATAATCTTCACTAACTACGTACCTCGTACCCTTCTTCACCTTGCTTATTTTATTTGTTGAAACTTGTATCTACCTTCTGATTTAGTTAGTTCTTTTGAAACCATATGGGTGGATGGATATTCATGCCTTAGTGCTCCTTATCAAGAAGCTTACACATCTTAGTACACACATAATCTACTGAATACCTTACATTTACTCATCATAAGTATGACGCAAAATCGAGTTCCTTTGATCAACTCTTCCACAACCACATTCAATCTTTTACCAACTTTCTTTGTGAATGTATGTATCGTTATATTACGAAAAAAGTAGAATTTAGGAGTTTGAATTCTTACAATTGAGATCTACCACCCGATCTAGAGTAAGATGAAAGAGTGACATTCCTAAATTTCCTGTAGCCTCCTGCTTATAAGTGTGGTGCACAACACACTCATAAATAAGGCTCTACTAGACACAACTTGTAGATTCCCTAGGATAAAACTACTCTGATACCAAGTTTGTCATGCCCCAAACCTGGTGAGGTGTGGACGACACCTGGTGTCATGCTCGGCCCGAGCATACCACTCTATAACTGTAAACTGTGGAGGGGTATCCCTCAACTTATGCCGACGAGGCCTACCTAAAAACTGACAATACCAATCGAGGCCAATGGGGCCATATTCTGAATCATCTAAAAATAATGTATCTCTCATCTTAGGGTAAACATACCCTATAAGCTCATATACATAACTGTGCAGGCCGACGAGGCCTCTATGAGTGTCCACCACCAGCAATACCAAACTGAACATGTACACATGGCTGGAAAAGCCACAATACTAACATACAAAATACACAGGACTCGTTTACAACCCTCTAGAGATAACTTAACTGTATCATGGTCGGCACAGGGCCTCGACCTACCCATCGAACCTGTATATATAAAATGGACTCCAAGGTCTAGACCAGATAACTCCGAGGAAGTGGATCTTACTGACCAAGCTAATGTATGACTCTGTTTAATGAGAAGGTCTATCCAGCTGTCTATCAGGACCTGCAGGCATGAAATGCAATGTCCCTAGGAAAAAAGAACGTCAGTACAAATAAAGTACCGAGTATGCAAGGCATGAAAAATAATACATAAAAGACATGAAAGAAATATGGAGTAAAGGACTCAACCTGTAAGTCTGAATAGCTCTATGAATTATGAAACATTATAATGTCATGTATATGCGTATAAATGTCATATCATGCATAGGTATATGCGTATATAACATCATCAAGCCTCTGAGGGCATCCCATTATATCATCTTGACCTCCGTCGTAACTATCTCCATACCCCATATACATATAATACACACGTATATAACGCCATCTGGTCATGGGTCAATGTACATGTATAAATAAATGCAATGCATAAGGAAATAAGTCGATAAGATCTCTTGGAATGTCATAAGATCAATATGCCTTTGGTTAATATCATGAAATAAACCTTATCAACTTACGTATTTTATGAGACCCATGAACATGCGATATAATAATAGGACACATAGAGAATCAAGAACATAGGCACCCTAGTAGTTCTAAGAATAATGTCATTTATGAAAGTTCCACGTTTGCTCGTTTCGTTTGTATCATATGGATCATGCCAATAGCAAAGAAGGGATGGCCTAACATGCCTTAACTCCGTTGATTCCTTAATACCTTCCAAGCAATTCTTCAAACGACTTAACTCAATCTACCATAGCATAAGGAGATTCAAAATCAGTGCTGAGTAAAGTCTAAGTCTGCAACTTAAACTAGCAGCTCGTTTAAATTTGGGCAGCATCTCCCCTGTAACAAGGGCCTCCTCCAATATCATATACCAACAACAACAACCAGAGTAATCCAACAACATGTAAGTATCAATAACAAGACACCATATAACAACAACAAGTCACAACTACTTCACGACGAGCGGCAAGCTCCGATTGGAATCCGTATACCCCATATCACCTCTTATAGACTTCTTACTTTAACTTAACAGTATCATTAACATAATAATGAAGTCATTCATCAATGATTTCAGCCTTATACCATCCTTAAGTTTTTCTGAAATTAAGATCTCAAAGAAAAAGAGTAAAGCAGAGTATGTTGTGGAAATTTGTATCAAATTGCCACTATTATCCTTAGCCCCACGGTGGACGCCAAACTGTTTACCCTAAAAAATGGATAACAATTAAATTTATAAGTGGTTTTAGGGATATGCGGATTAATTCAATACAAATAATAAATTGTGTTAGATTACATAGATAAAGGACGTGATAAATTATCAAACCAATTGTGGGGAGTGAACCCGGACTTAGTAACAACTTTAATATAGTGCTTGCCTTCGATCCCGAGCTCACAATAATGAAGAACTGATGAACAATAATAAGAACTTTGAATATCAGAGAAAATAAGAATAAAATTGGTTTGATATGCGTGCTACAATGATCCTAATGAATAGTCAGACTCCCCTTTATGTAGTAGGGGAATTTTACCCGAAGTACAATTATATAAAAAGTAAAATCTCCCATTTTACTAATCACTGATCTTCTGCCGGTACGTGCTGAGATTCACGTCGTGACATCCGGCTGAGCACAGATATCATGGCCCTTTGTTAGTCATTCTCGGTTATCTGATAATGTTCTCCGAAATTTAGGGATTCAAATCGGACCTGGGGGGCGTGACCCTGATTCGTTTGAGGGCGGGTGTTTTGACCGCACCTCGATTCGAGGGGCTCCCTGCCTCGATTCCGGTTTCTTACAGTCACATCTCTGTTCCATTTACTTCATCGATAACTGAGGCGTCCAACGGGCTCGGTTTCACCCGTATATAACTACAATTAAAAATTATTAAAGCAATATAATCTAATATGTCCAAACAAGCCTGATCATAATTTAATTTAATTAATATTTTTCAAAATTGACCGCGCCGCGCGAATACGACTACTGGTTATTAAGTAACACCGTAAGATAACATTTAGAAAAGTAGTAAAGGATTAAAGTTTGCTCCAATGTATAGGCGCATCGCATGAAGCTGCAAAAAGCGTGCCAGAAAAAAACTACCATCTGTTTAACATGACATCAGATACTTTTGGAGCATGATAAAGGTTCTCAAAGTTTACCAAAATTACAAAAATACGAATGACGTATAATGTAATAAAGATATTACTCAGGGTTATAAATATCTTCCAAAAATAGTGAGCTGAACTGTTACACGATAAGCAAGGGCAAAAGTGTCTGCGCAATAAAAAACTAATAATGCATGCACATCAACCTAATTAGTTGGACCAAGTAAAACAACTGTATTCAAAAAAATTTCGTTTCATCTGTTAGCTGGCAAGACAACCATGACCCGCTTCAAGCCTCTTTTATATAGTAGTATGTTGACAAAAATGCGAACACATTGAGACTGAACTGACTTCATATGAAACAAAATCACTAAAATAGATGTTTCTAAATTTTTGGGGAAAAAAAATTCCTAGTGATAGAAAATGAGAGAAATATCATTCTTCAGAATGAGAGAATAATGTATAATTCTTTGCTGAGATGATAATGGTGCGTGCTCCTCCTATTGGTGCCAAGATGGTTATGCTCACGCCAATAATAATTGAAATCTGCAAACAAAGTAAAAGAAATGAATGTGATCATAGAAAACATAGTGACATGTTAACTATCATGTACTTCACAAATCATGCTGACTAATAAAGTAATATAAAATACGTTATCTATATAGAGTAAATTAGTACATCACGAATAAAAAAAACAAAAGAACATGTTTCTTTTAATGTTGTTAAATGTTTTAGTTCGTAATGTTATTATAGTATAATATTTTACCATCATCAAATGCTATCCACAACATAATAAGAGACATTATAACTTTGTTTTGTATCAAAAAGATGATGAATGCACTATTTTGTAGTATTATTTGATTATTTGAGATAGCATATCCTACTAGCTAGTCTGTCCTATCTTAGCGCCAACATTATACATTTACATGGTTTAAGTTTTCTTTAAATATTTATTTGGGATAGCAAACGAAACCACATGAGGATCGTGTATTATCTCAACAAATTTGACAAACTTACCCATGAAGCGATCCAATGAAAGCTCCACTTTTTAGGTTTCTGGCTGACAAGCCACATCATGCATGGGAGCTGCAATATATACAATTAATAAGGATATTGGTTAGTACTGCTATGCTTAAAGTTGTTAGAAATTCTATAGAAAGATAGGATAGAGATCGCACAAAAAATGATGTGGATGAAAATGCCAATCCTCCAAAAAAACCCAACAGCCCTCCGAAAAAGGGAATGCAAATTCCAACGAACATAGTGAGAACTGCGTAACAATTGATACAAGTATTGAAAAACAGGAGTTAGTTACTATCACATTTGCTATCTCTTTTTTATTTTATTTTTAACAATATTCCATAAAGCCATGAAGGATTAATTTTATTTACCAACATAAATGCTTCGGGCAATAAGGCGAAGAGGCCGCCCAGGAGTGAAATGACGCTTTTTAACCAAGAAAGATTCAATCGTGTCAAAAACAGGCATTGCAAAAACCTGAGATTAAAAAACAAAATGGTAATGAACACAAAACATTTGACCCAATATTGAAGATAATTATCTTCTTGCAAAGGTATCATAATATAGTTTCAAACCATCACCTGATAGGATCCAAGAACATGCAAAAACACCATGAAGTTTGCCAGAGAGATTAGCCAATTTGGGTGTTCTAATGTAACAAGGACGTCATCAGCCACAAGATTGCCAAAAGCCCAGAATCCAGAGGCTGCAACAGATAAATAGCAAAATGCAACAATTGCATAAGCCACGACAACACCTCGCCACATTGGACTTTTAGAGGGTCTTTCTGGGGTTGAAGGGATGGTTGCTTGAATTTCTAATGCAACACTATGTCCAGCAAATGCAAATGCAATGGTTCCTAAGCTGTTGAAAATATCAAATATTATTCCAGCTGTAGTATGAGATCGAAGACCATAATTAACTGCTTTCGGATGCTCAATTCCTTTGATGATTGACGCAACTGACGCAATTGTTGAGTAACTGCATATGTAAGTACAAAGTCAATTTAATTAATGTCATAAAAACAAAGGCCAAGAGATGCAATGACCGAAAATGTGAATGATTAACTAATTTAACATTAAACTCCTACCATTTAAATATTAGCTAACTCCAAATTTGTAATATCTTTGACTAATTCAATAGATACATGATGTGTGTGCTCATAAGAAAATGCTAGTTATCTCTTAATATTTTCAATTGAGATTGTTGAGATGAAGCTAATACCTCCATAGTAATACATGCATACGCTTGATTTTCTTATGGTTGCGAGGGATTCGTATCAAATTCTCTCAAATCGTGTCAAATACATATACTAATTTTATGTATGTTATTTTTATATAAGAAAATTTGGGAAAAGTCACTCGTCCAGAAAACATGAAGCAAACTCTATATAACAGTTCAAAACTCCAACATATATGTAAAAAAAAAAAATAATAAATAAATAAATTGAATTGAACTATTTCAAAAGTTTACAGTATATAAATTTCCAACGATGGGGTAGGTTTCCGAATGCAAGCAATACATATGATAGTATAAGTAAATTTTCCAAATTTATTACACCAGATAAACTCATGTATTTTTAAAAGGGGAAAAAAACTAGTTACTAGATGGGTAATTATTTTAACATCATAATAATAGACGTGTATTTTGCATTTTGTGTTCATTTACCTCAAAGACATAACAGCTGCTGTAAAAGAGACCACCTTCAAGGAATTAAAATTAGGAGCTTGGGATAGTATCAATTGAAGAACTCCAAAAAACATAATATAGTAAGTTTGATTAATTTTGCGACCCCAATGGAACATCATCTTCACACTTTCCCTTAGAGACTTCCCCCCTGTAACCATATATACTATGTCGCAGGCAACTTGAACAATTATCTGTTGAGGCATCACCATCCAGTAACCCCTCTTCAGTCCAAATACATGTTTGCCTAACTCAGGATATCTGTCAAATCTCTTCCCCGGAACATGCTCGTGCAAATTAACCAATTGCCAAAATGAGTATAATGTCACACTCCATGAAATTATTATCATCCCGATTCCTGGAATCCTACATATTAATTAAAAAAAATTAAATATAAGAGGGTTAAAACTCTTTTCACAAATGCATGACTTACATGAGATGTATCATAACAAAATTAGAATATACCAGCCGAGTTGTGACACAGCACATGGTAAACCTAGAACACCAGCTCCTACAATGGCTGTTACATTATGGAATGCTGAATACCACCATTTGGCTTTTCGGGAAGCTGTTATAGGCAGCCACTTATTCAGATCATTGATTTCTTCATTTGTCCTTCCATCATTGGAGTTATTCCCACTCTCAACCTTGAATGAAAAATGAAGGTTACATGAATAAGAACATGATCAAAGACTACTATTAGAATTTCATGTTTAGATAGAACATACCATCGAAGCTTCATTGTTTTGCACCATTAGTGTATACTAGTTTTGTGTCAGAGTAAATATATAGTAGTTAAAAACTCTTGTTACAAATTACTCAATAGATAAGTAAGTAAAATGTTGAGCGTGGGAAAAGGGTTTTTATACTTTTTTGGGTATCTCTTACCATCCTCATTTAGGGAACTATGAATCAGTCATAGATTTTTAGCTACAATATCTATGCATGTGAATCAAGTTTCCCGTAGCAAACAGTTTCAGAAAATTAAGGATATCTAGATAAAGTTATCCACTTATTTACTACACAAATCATGTGATAAACGGTTGATTATCCTATTTTCGTGCAACTTGACTAGTAACTAGAAATACAGAACTAGACAAGTCAAATTTAATATTGCCCGTAAATAAATGTGTCAGAAGAATTTTATGAAATTGATCAGCCCAAATTGAACTAAACGCAATCTAACCAATTGTTTGATATTGTTTTTTATATTATAACTAGTAAAAATTATTTGCACTTCACACGGTATGAAAATATTAATAACTTTAAGAAATAATAATTTTACAAATTTAATAGAGAAATTTTTTTCGGGCATTTTCATATATTAAATAATAATACATTAATGTAATCACAAACATAAATGTCATTATCAGAATTAGAGCCTAAATTTAATTGCACTTTTCATTATCAGATTTTCTATAAGGAAAAGAATTTGTAACGAATCATTTCACTTTTATATATGTGACTTTTGGGATTTAATTCCTAACTTTATTAGTCTCACTATATAATTAATTAATCTACTTATGCATATACTTTTCTTCTGTCATAAGATAGTAAATGTCTATTTCTCTAAACTTTTTCTATTCAAATAATAGGGGCATGAAACCAAAAGTGAAAAGTTATGTATTTATTCCAATCTAATTTTTTTCTTCCGTTTGTTACTAGTTTCATTTAATTGTGCTAACTGTTTTGGTAACTCCTTAAATGGGGGAAGATCAGAAAAGACTATCTTATTGAACTGAATTCAATTTTGACCCCCTTTTTTGGCGAAGTTTTTGACGATTATTTTGTTACACCTTACACACGAAAAAATAAAAACTAAAATTGTTTCTCTTTGGGTACAATGAGACACAAAAATAACAATAAATTGATAAAAAGGTAAACAAAAAGTATATATGATTTGAAGCAGATGTACAACAAATCAATTTACAAGGGTACATATTTTAGGTGATTGTTATCAACTATTGCAATATAAATCTCGGGCGAAATGCAATAATAGTTACTTTTAAGCCCGCTATTTAAAATATATCCACAATTTACAATATATTTAAAGATTAGTCAATTCACCTAAACCTTAGGACTAAGTATCCAGAATTTGAAAATTTACGATTTAATGTCCTTCAATGCATGGATATTGCAAGCTAGACACAAGCCAATTATAAAGATGACAGAGGAGATTAGAATCAAGGTTATGAATATGTTGAATGATAATGAAGCTGAAGTGATGGGGTGAGGAAGTGAATACAGTCCCAAGACTCTGAATTTGTATAACCAATTCATGAGGATTGCACAAAAGTGTCATGTGAATGACAGTGCTGACCAAGGTTATGAGGTGACAGAAGGTAGTGATAGACATATTGTCAATCTGGGGGTAAAAAAATGCACTTTTAGGACATGGGACCTTTGTGGAATCCCATGTCCTCATGCAATCTGTGCCCTACTGTACAAGAAGGTTGATCCTTTAAGTGAGATTCACTGGTACCTTTCAAAAGAGGCATATCTGCAGATTTATTCTCACAAGTTACAACCTGTGAGAGGAGAAAAGTTCTGGAAGTTAGAGCCCTCTTAGAATATGGAACCACCTGAATTTGTAAGGCAGGCTGGCAGACCAAAAGTAAAAAGAACAAGAGAGGCAAATGAGTCAACCGATAAACAAGGACAATGGTCTCAATCCAGAAAAGGAAGAGTAATGACATGTAATAACTGCGGAGAACCTGGACATAATACTAGGGGCTGTGCCAAGGTAATCTATCTCTTGAACAATAACTTTAAACTTCTATTTTATTCTGTCTTGTTCTAACATATAATTGTGTTCTATTTGGTAATAGTACTCTAAAGGAAAACAATCAATGAGCGGCAATTCAAGGGGAAAGCACAAATTTTTTTTTTTTAAAGAACTTTGGTTGATGAACCTGATGCTGAAGAGCCTATATCACCAGCTGCTGCAGATATCCCAACTGAAGATGACTTCCATTTATCAGCACCTCAGCCAAGTCAAAACAGTCAGTCCAACAACTTTGTGTTTATGCCAACCCCTACAATTCAAAGGCAGCTTCCAACTAGCAATGATCCAGATTTTGAGATCCCTAACTTTGAACCTGAGCCTGACATAACTATAAGACCTAAGAGCATCTCAGAAGCAAGGACAAGACTCCAGCTGACATAGCTGTACACTAAATAATATAGGGACCAATAATATACTATCATATCTTATAAAGAAAACAAACATCTCTAAGATTTGGAGAAAAAAAGCTCCTTCTTTAGGGTATACAATAAGGGAAAAAACTAACCAACAAATACTACTACAACATCATCATCAAACAACATTTCTGGAAAGCAAAAAATTCTACTATAAATTAGAATACTACTACAACATGGCTTAATTAACCTAAAAGTCAGCTACACATATAAAACTCAAAAAAGTCACTTCATCATCGAGGCTGCAAAATCCCAACAAACAGTCCTCAAAAAATCATAAGCAACATCCTTGTCTTTGCAAGTTTATCTTCCAACTTGACGACTTTATCCACTTCATATTGGTGTATAGCTTTCATGGCAATTACTTCTTCATTCAATTTGTCCCCTTGCATCTTAATCTCCTCCATCGACGATGTTACATCTTTAATATTAGTCCAATCACTTTGTGGGAAGATTTTATCTTCCCCCTTCCAAAACCCACATGAACTAGGCTATCAAACATAATTCAAAAAGAATATTTTGGTAATAATTACAAAACTCTAAACTTGTAGATTTCAAAATTACAGTAAAATTATAAAAAAACTGAAAAATATGGTAACCTTAGGCCTCAGACATTTGTAGAATTTTCTTCCAGGGTTATATGGAGTAGAAGAAGTGATGTGGTTGGCTATAATGCCACAACGACACCTAATCTGTGATGAACAGCTGCCTTGCGACATTTATCAACCAAAGCTACGACGAGAATGAAGAAAAGAGAAATTTTGGGAAGATTTTAGTCAAGCCCTAGTTCTTAGCAATGGAGTGTATTTTGGGGGATAAAAGAAGACGTTGGGTACGTCTCAAATTACTAGGAGTAAAATTGGGTTTGGGGGACTAAATTGCTGTCGGGTTTGGGGATTAAAAGTTAGTGGAAATTTGAGTTGGCAGCTGACTTGGAAAAAAGAGAGAGGGTCAGCTGCCACATCGACGAGGCGTTAGGGTTAGGGGTAATTACATAAATTTTATTAATGGTAGGGTGGGGATTGAACGTATAGTATAACGTGGGACAAACATGCTTAAATGCCAATAGTACATGGGTAATAATGGTCTTTTCCCCATTTAAAATTCATGACTAAGTGTTCTGAATTTCTGAACTAATAATTAAAAATTTAGGACATAATATTCTAACTTCTGGACACAATTTTCGAACTTTAGAATATGATGTCACGAAGATTGAATTTTGTGGTTTAAACTCTAGGACGTTGTATCCTGAAGTTTGAGTGAAATTAGCTAGTCTTTAAATATATTATAAATTGTGAATATATTTTAAACAACATGCTTAAAAGTTGCTACCTGATATAATTTTCACTATAAATCTTTATATAAATCTCACATTTGCATTAATAAATTTATGACACTAAACTACTATTCAACTTTAAATCTAGCATTAGGCTAACACGGAATTCAACTATTAATTCAAGCAAATATAAAGAGTTTATATAATGATTATTATTACATACCGAGGAGAAACTAAGAAATACTGCTATATGTCATTATTATTAGTGCAATCTTGCAAATAGAACAAAATCAAGGTAGTAAAAATATAAATCTTAAATGCAAAGTGACAAAATACTACAATGACTCGGCAAGTCACTTTGTATATTGTTGCCCCGTCCCCCCATTTATCGATTCTTCTATGTTCATTTGTGGTTGGTTTGGTTCAAGGGATGTTTCGAAGTGAATTGAGACACTTAGTCCCAAGGTTGGAAGTTTAAGTTGAAAGAGTTGACCAGAGTTTGACTTTTGTATAGACGACTCTGGAATGGTATTTTAATGGTTCCAATAGCTTTTTATGGTAATTTTGGACTAAGACATATGTTCGGATATTGATTTGAAAGTCCGTAGGTTGATTTGAGGCTTTTTGGCGAAAGCTGGAAAGTTAAAGGTTTGGAAGGTTGAGAAGTTTGACCAAGAGTTGACCCTTGTTGATATCGGGTTTAAATTTTGATTCCGAAATTTGGGATATGTACGTTGTGCAATTTATAACTTGTGTGCAAAATTTGAGGTCAACCGGATTTGGTTCGATATGTTTGGCATTGGTTTTAGAACTTGGAAGTTCATTCGTTTCATTAGGCTTGAATTGGGGTGCAATTCGTGACTTGATGTTGTTCGATGTGATTTGAGGCTTAGATTAAGTTCGTATCATGTTATAGGACGTGTTGGTATGTTCGAATAGGGTCCCCGGGGCCCCCCGATGTGATTTTGATTGAAATGGGGTTGAGGTTTAGACTTAGGGAAGTGTTGTTGGTTTCAGTTCTTGTGTAATTGCACCTGTGAGGTTTTGGGCCGCTGGTGTAGAGCCACAGAAGCGGCCAGTTGTGCGTATGTGCGAGGATTTAGAGGCTGTCTGGGAGGGCAAGTGCAAAGGATCTCCGCATTTGCGAGTCCATAGAAGTGGAAGATTTGGCATAGGTGCACTTCCGTAAGCACAAAGCTATATTCCACAGATGTGGAAGGTCGGAGGCCATAGAAATCGCAGAAGCAAGATTTTGGCAGCACCTGCAGAACCACATATGTGGTTAAGTGAGCATGAGGTGCGAGAATCACTGGGCGGAAATATTATCGAGGGTT